CCCTTTTCTCCACACCCTCTCCAGCATTTGTTGTTTGTAGATTTTCTGATGATGCCCATTCTAACTGGTGTGAGGTGATACCTCATTGTAGTTTTGATTTGCATTTCTCTAATAATTAGTGATATTGAGCAGCTTTTCATGTGCTTCTTGGCCATCTGTATGTCTTCTTTGGAGAAATGTCTATTTAGGTCTTCTTCCCATTTTTTTATTGGGTTGTTAGTTTTTTTAATATCGAGCTGCATGAGCTGTTTATATATTTTGGAGATTAATCCTTTGTCCATTGGTTCGTTTGCAAATATTTTCTCCCATTCTGACTGAGGGTTGTCTTTTCATCTTGTTTGTAGTTTCCCTTGCTTTGCAAAAGCTTTTAAGTTTCATTAGGTCCCATTTGTTTATTTTTGTTTTTATTTCCATTACTCTAGGAGGTGGATCAAAAAAGATCTTGCTGTGATTTATGTCAAAGAGCGTTCTTTCTGTGTTTTCCTCTGAGAGTTTTATAGTGTCTGGTCTTAAATTTAGGTCTCTAATCCATTTTGAGGTTATTTTTGTGTATGGTGTAAGGGAGTGTTCTAATTTAATTCTTTTACATGTAGCTGTCCAATTTCCCCAGCACCACTTACTGAAGAGACTGTCTTTTCCCCATTGTATAGTCTTGCCTTCTTTGTCATAGATTAGTTGACTATAGGTGTGTGGGTTTATCTCTGGGCTTTCTGACCTGTTCCATTGATTCTTGTTCCATTGATCTATGTTTCTGTTTTTGTGTCAGTACCATGTTGTCTTGATTACTGTAGCTTTGTAGTATAGTCTGAATTCAGGGAGTCTGATTCCTCCAGCTCCGTTTTTTTCCCTCAGGACTGTTTTGGCTATTCGGATTCCTTTGTGTCTCAATACAAATTTTAAGATTATTTGTTCTAGTTCTTTAAAAAATGCCATTGGTAGTTTGATAGGGATTGCATTGAATCTGTAGGTTGCTTTGGGTAGTATAGTCATTTTCACAATATTGATTCTTCTAATCCAAGAACATGGTATATCTCTTCATCTGTTTGTGTCTTCTTTGATTTCTTTCATCAGTGTCTTATAGTTTTCTGAGTACAGGTCTTTTACTTCCTTAGGTAGGTTTATTCCTGGGTGTTTTATTCTTTTTGTTGGAATGGTGAATGGGAGTGTTTCCTTAATTTCTCTTTCTGGTCTTTCACTGTTAGTGTATAGGAATACAAGAGATTTCTGTGCATTAATTTTGTATCCTGCAGCTTTACCAAATTCATTGATTAGCTCTAGTAGTTTTCTGGTGGCATCTTTAGGATTCTCTATGTAGAGTATCATGTCATCTGCAAACAGTGACAGTTTTACTTCCTCTTTTCCAATTTGTATTCCTTTTATTTCTTTTTCTTCTCTGATTGCCGTGGCTAGGACTTCCAAAACTATGTTGAGTAATAGCGGCAAGAGTGGACATCCTTGTCTTCTTCCTGATCTTAGAGGAAATACTTTCAGTTTTTCACCATTGAGAACGATGTTTGCTGTGGGTTTGTTGTATATGGCCTTTATGATGTTGAGGTAGGTTGCCAATGCAGACTTTTTTAAAACAATAAAACGTGTGTGCAGTTTAGCAACTGACCTCTTTGCAGCGGGAACTACTCTTAAGATGCTAACTCATTTTACAGGTGTCTTTATGTCAGGGTGTATCTGTGTGTGTGTTTATAGTTAAGAGAAACAGGAGGCCACCCTGCAGACTGACACGCGCTAACGGGCATTTCCAGGAAGAACCTGTGGGTGACGACTCCTGGGATGCTGGTCCCAGGGCTGTAGCTTCCCTTCAGGGCTGTGGTGTGACACGTGATATAAGCCCTTTCTACTCCATCCCCCATCTCAGATGTCTCTTGGTTTCCCAGAAGGTAGATGTACCAAATGTGTAGCTTAACATAGCGTCATGTGAGTGTTGTACAGTTTTTATATTTTTCTTCAAGTCTGTAATGTCTTAGCAGTATTCAAGTTTGGGTTTTGTTTTGTTTTGTTAACGTTCTGTAGTACCTCTGGGTGCCCGCCCAGTAAAGTAGCCTTTATTGTGTCCAGAACACCCTCATTCAGGTGAAAGAGAACGTCTTGCTTGCTCAATCCCCCCTCGCCCGGTCCATCGTGTTCCCCATTTTTAGACTTCCATCGATCTCTTTCACATGAAGAGACCTGTTTCTTGGAGAGTGTCATGTCAGAGCTACTTGGAATCCCTTTTGGACTTAGATGTCCTTTGGGGGCCTTTCCTAAAATGATGCCTTCACGAGGAACGGCTGCTAGAACTGGCTGAAGCAGCATCACTCCACACCCTGGCGCTCCGAGGACAGAGGTGTTCTCTGCCCTTCCTGTGACGTGGAGGGACAGCGGGAGTCGGACAGCTGCGCTCGGAGCCAGAAAGTGTGGGTTCAGCTCAGTGTCTTGTAGCAGCGCCCTGGGCTCCTGCCCATCTCCTCCCCTCTGAGGATGACCACGGTGCCATGAAGAAAGCGCGGTGATGGCACTGGTGCAGGCCCTCCGCGGCCGCATCACCGCGCCAAGGCTGTGGCTTAACACAGTGGTCGTTTTGTTTGCTCATGGTTCTTCACTGTGGGCCAGACCAGCTGGACAGTTGCTGCCTTGCTGTTGATCACTCGTGTGGCTGCGGTCAGCTGCCTTGGGCTCAGGGCCAGGCTCGGCTGGCGTGGCTGATTCCTCTCTCCACGTCATTTTGGGACGTCTCCCGTCCCCGCCGGGTAGTCTGACCTCTCACATGGCGGCTCAGGGCTCCTTGGAGCACAAGGGCAGGAGCTGCCAGGCCTTCCTGAGGCACAGACCTGGACCTAGCCGCCCGCCACATCCACTGCAACCTGCTGATTCAGTAAGTAGAGCTCAGTCCAGAGTTGTGGGAGATGCCACACAAGGAGGTGAATACCTGGAGGCGTGGTTCTGTAGGGGCCACCAAGGTGACAGCACACAGGCCCCTGCTTGTCCCACTCACCTCCCAGTCGGGAGACAGCAAATGAGAGCTCCTTGGTGCCCACTCCCCTGGGAGCCGTGAAGGTCGGACCCTCTTCCCCACTGCAGCTGCCGGGGACAAGGAAGCTGAAGGGAGAGCTCTCCTTTCCCTCCCTAGTTAACTCTGCCTGGAGAGCCGGCTTCATCACTGTCCTGACCTCAGACCCACTCAGCTGGGCTTCTCCCCACTGCGGTTCTGTTACCCATGGGGTTCAGCCGCAGGGCTGTGATGCTCCAAGGATGCCCTCATTGTAAGTGACCATTACCCAGGCCCATGGCACTGCCACCGGGGACTGCTGGAGGGACGGGCAGGCCAGATGTGCCCCCAGATTTATGAACTGTTCCAGGACAGCACGTTCATCAGCTGAAGGGCCACAGCACTCAGGGTTTCTCCCAGCCCTGCCAGGAGTTGTGCCCACTCATATCGTCTGGTGTCGCTCATTTATGGGACTCCTCTCGTAATCACGTTTCACGGAGAAGTGGAACTTTGACCATGAAACCTTTGTCCAGTGATGAAAAACTGAAGTTAAAAAAAATCCTTCCATCTTATTTCCTTAGTTGCTGTTGGAGATGGTGGGTTCAGGTCCCCTCGGCCTGGTCACCATCAACTGGAACAGAGGGGTCCTTCCACACCCCCAGGGGTAGAGTGTGTGTCTGTAGGGTCTCACAACCAGGGATATAGGGTCCCTTCCCCGCAGCTCGGCCCAGCAGTCGAGTCACAGTCTAGGGTCAGAGGCTGGCCCTGCCTGGCCGGTGTCACTGTTGTGTTACCTACAGGGAGGGAGTGCCTGGGTGTCTTCTGGGCAGGTGCTTGGAGGCCCCTCCACGTGCACTCAATTCACTTCATTCTCCCTTCAGCGATTGTGGGTTTCCCGCCCCCGCCCCCTGCCCTGCGCAGTTTTACGCCATCCAGACATCACTTCAGCCGCAGGCTCTCCCTCCGGCACTCACGCTCCGGCCGTGAAACCCGTGGACTCCACTCCCCATTGAACCTGCGGCTCTGCGTGCCTGGTGGCGGGTTGCGTGTCCTGCTGTGGGGTCCGCTTTGAACTCGTCAGTGGTCTCCCTGCCTCTGCTGGACATGGCACCCCCAGAGCCCTGTCGGCTGCCTGCCCTTGCTCCCTGTTTGTCTCCCACAGGGCCCCGGGGCAGGTCCTGGGCTGCTGTCTGTGGCACTGGCTGCTGCCACTGCCCTCTGCTCCGAAATGCCCAGTGTTTGGCGATGGTTGCCCCTGACAGACCCCCGCCCCAGTACCCCTGCACCTGTCTTCCGAGGAGACCACCTCAGCAGGCTGCTGGCCTGACACTGCTCTGGTCGGGGCTGGGGGCCACCCTCCCCAACTCTTGCCGGCCCTTCCTCTGCTGCTCTTTGTGGGTCTCTTCCTCGTGGAGGCACAGACCTTCCACCCGCGGCGGCTGTGTTTTCACGTTGCAGTGAGAGTTGCCAGTGGAGTTCAAGCTCTTGAGACTCCGAGCTGGGTGTGCAGGTCCAAACCTGACCTTGAAATGCCAGCCCTTGTCTGCTGTTCACAGCCTGCCAGTGGGCGGGGACCGGTTCTTCTGGCCCAGGCCAGGCTGAGTGTGCACACAGGGTTACCTGGTCTAGGTGGCCCCAGGTGCGTTCTGACACCTGGGCGTGTCCTGGGGGAGCAGCTCTGCAGCCCTGGGCTCAGCACTGGCCGTTGCTGATGCTGCCAGCCAGCAGTGAGTGAGAAGGCCAGCAGACCCCAGGCTGGGGTGCAGGGGGCACCGCCAAGTCCTGTGCATGGGTGGGTGTGTGCGTGCGTGAGCATGGGGGGGGGG